GTTCTTGCAAGTCCGTGTCTACTTTTCGCGGACGACTTGAAATCCCGGACTTCCAATGCCAGTGCCTTCCAAATGGATGTAGACGCTGCCAAACAGTGGTCGTTGGGCTAGCACCTTCCTCTGAATGATGAAAAGCGCGTCCATATGTCGTTTGGAGGAGACTCAGCGAATGCATTTGTTATGCATGGTGAGAAAGGACCAGAAAGCATCATGAGGATAGACACCAAATAGGGTTTGGGTATTTGGGTTTCCTCAAACCCGTCCTGCTCATTGCATCATGAGAAATCGGCCCAAAAAGCACTCGGTATTCTACGGATGATCCGACGCACCTTCTCCCGCATGGACTTCCAAATACTCTATGTGGTTTACGTCAGACCGTTCTTGGAATACGCCAACCAAGTTGCCCACTCAGGACACATGAAAAAGACGTCACCCCCATTTGAGCGTGTTCAGCGAGCCGCTACGAGAATGATTGCCGGCCTCAAATCCGTGGACTACGAAACGCGTCTCGCGATGCTTGATCGCGTTCCCCTGGAGTACCATCGCCTCCGAAGAGACATTCTTATTTATGCCCTATTTGAACGAAGCTTGGCCAACAGATTTTTCACCGCTGGCCAAGAAAACACACGTTGGGGACACAGTAGGGAGATTTTCAAGCTCAGAGCGCACACATTAATTAGACGAAATTTCTTCTCACTTAGGGTAGTAGCTGCGTGGAATGACCTTCCTCCAACGGTTGTCCACGCTTCTTCTAGAACCCAGTTTAATGCACTATTAGACATTTATTTATGCGAAGCATACTGCCCCGCTCAGAATATAAAGAGCAGTGCTACACCCTTTTTTATTTGTGCCTTTCAGACGAGCGATAGTGGCTGACCGACAAGACCAAACCGACCCGGGAATCTTGCGCAAAATCCTCGATCCTGTTTATCAATCCTTGATCCGTGATTCAGGCGCCCTGTCAGCCTGTCTCCTCCACAAACTCAATGGTTCCCTTTGCAGTTCACGTTTCGCACTATACGTTAGCACTGCCTCGAATGCTCGACTCCAATAGTGACACCAGTGTTTCTATCCAGTTTCACTGAACACCATGCTTTTAGTGGGCCGCAATTTATCCATTTGCAAATTTCTCTAACTCATTCGATTTGCTTAGGCTTTTCGTTGCCCTGGCATTTAACTCAACTTCCCATAGTTATGCATCTTCAGCAGTGTTTTTCAGTTTTGATGAGAACTGGCCAGCAGGATTTCTCCAGATTCGTTGGCTTTGTTTTCTACTTTACGCAAGTTAGAGTTTCCTATTTCGTGCTAGGCAGAATCTCTTGGTGTTGTCTTTCCCCGGCTGTTTTTCCAGTCATTTTCGAATTGCAGTGGCCTGCTATTCCTCCGACTTTCTGAATTCTATAAAATATGGGGAAACCTCAACGGCTGGTGTACTTCGCCTTTATCGTCCGACACATTTTGATTGTGTAAATTCACGCATGGCCTCGTCGTTGTCCGATATTTCCCGCCATTTTTGTGACTATCAAGCTTGTGCGCATTCCTGAGCACCCATAACTAGCGGCAGTCATGTCTTCATTCTGACGGTGTCATTATGACCATGCCTGAGAATGTGACACCCACCTGCTTGGGATAAACATAAGTAGTAACATTATGTTAAGTTGGAAACACGAATTTCCGTATTTGATGCCACTGATAGCCTATTCAACAGCTCTTTGCGTGTAAACCGTATTCACCGAGCAGGACCTATACGGTTTTCTTCCATGCGTATTAGTACATGAGTTTTTTGTACAAATTCGGTCTTGCAAGAGCTGCTTCGTAAAGCAGCACCCTAGGTGTTCGTCCATACACACGAATCCTGTAATCTGTATAAAAACAACTGAGCCCAATTTCACCATCCTCACCAAGAAGGATCAGACACATATTAGGAGAAAGGGTCATATTTTACACGATATTCCCATAGACGACTCAGCACACGTATCCAGCGAACACTTTGAACAATAAGGAACGCATAGTGAACTGTTTGTTTCACATGTTTCAGCAAGAATGTTATATTTATCAATAATATTTTCTATTCGGGCAAACGAAAATGTATCCCATCTTACAGCGTAAAGTTGCGTTTTTCTGGTACAAAAATTTTTTCTGGTCTTTGAGACCGTGATAACTGAGAGAGACCACCTTCGTGAAAGATAAAACTCTCACGTTCTGTTCACATTCATAACATGCCTTCATCGTTTTTCAGTAGCAGTGGCAGGTTTTTGCAGTCTTCGCAGTGGCTTCCGGCAAGCGTAAAAAAGAGCGTCTGGTCAAGGGGGATATTGGTATTGGCTGTCACTTGGTGTTGGAAACAGGAGCACACTGTTGGCAAGCTGTCTTCTACACTATTCACATTCACAACATGCCTTCATCAGTTTTCAGTAGCAGCGGCAGATTTTTGCAGTCTTTGCAGTGGCTTCCGGCAAGCGTTAAAAAAGAAGTAAAACAACCGGTACAACCTGTGATGGCCAAGACTCCGATGATTTCAGTCCAATAGTCCCAGAAAGAGACAAGGAATATGTAAACTGAAGTGAGTCGTGAAGATACTGTCATACTGAACGAACCCTTTTCTCCTTGACATGCTCATTAATCGTAGTGATTGGCTTTAAGCCTACGGCATCCTATTGAAGAGTTACACTGTCCACAACTTTTACACTGGGGTCAGGTGCACAAGATAACACTTTTGCAGTAAAGACATGGCCATTGGTCCCAACTTTTCAAGCTTTTGAACTTGGTTGAACTCTGCGTGTGACTAATAACAGAGATCAGCACCCTATATACACTGTACTCTCATCTCCCGCAGTAAAAGAAGTGCCGATACGGCCCTATACTCAGAGTGAACAATCGTCTCTTTCGAATTCAAGCCTACCGAAGTTCGCAATGCAGTACTCGCCAATTGGTTCAAACGACTGATCATTTTTCTCTATTGGCGCCTGATTCAGCGAGCTCATGTAGTTTGAAATAACACGAGAATACCGGACTTTGTGAGTTTGTTTATTCCACTCTGGCGCAAGTCGACCCGGGAGTGGTGAATGAAAGCCACTTTACTCGTATGTTCAACTGCTGATTCAGGCTATTGCTTCCTCATCCAAGCAAAGATTGATGCTTTCTGGAATAAAGACGTACGTAAGCACTAATTTTCCATATTGAAAACTGATTGAGAATGGTTTGGAGAATTTCACTCTACACATTTTATCACTGAATATTTACTTCATTCGCGTCCCTCGCTCTAGCACTGAAAGGAAGAAGGATGCATCTTGACATCTGAACCTAGCTTATGGTCCCAAGCTCATCAACCAAGGGTTCGAGTAGGAACGACAAGTTGAGGGGGACATTCGACATCCGCCATCAGCGACCAGCCACAGAAAGTAATCAAGTACAGTACAGTACAGATTTTTGGACAGAAGAAGTTCTAATGTGTCCAACAAAAATAATCGAAAGCTTGTGCGCACTAAAGCCGAGGAAGGATGTCATCAGACTGGGGCTCAGCCTAATGACAGGACTGGTAGTGTGCTGAAATATCGGCAGCTTGGGTGAGTTTATACGTTGCCGATCAGATGGCTGTTGATATGCTCGCCGATATTGGCAACTGGCTTGCAAACGTTTCGTCGCGATACGAGGAGATCATCAGTGGGCAGTTGGGTTCCCGCCCACGTTTTCAAGCCAATTGTCAAGCGCGAACGGGTCAACAGCCACCTAATCAACAACCAATAAATGACAGGTCTCGCAATTCGATACTTCTGAATTGTAGCCTCTTGCAATGTGGTTTTTGACCATCACGGTCGTTTTAAACAAGTCGGTTGTATTTCGGCATGTTGCAACAGTTACCCACGTTCATCCCACATTCCGAGATGACACAGTCTTTCAGAGGATCTTCGCCAACCCAGGCACTTATGCCGTTGGCTTTGACGTTACCGAGTCAGTGCTTGCTGATACCTCATTAGCACCAGCACCGAAGAGGTTCGACTTTCGGAGAAAAATGAACCTTTGGAGTTCAAGCAAAAGGTTTGGTTACCCCTGAGATCCCCTAGGATCTACAGTTCCTATAGGTCAGTTCACCAGCCTGCCAGTTTGGCCGTCCATTGTGAGCAAGAATCCTGCTTTACTGGGTATGCTATTGGCGGACACAATCTCTGATCAGGATAGTCTATATTTGATCGACGCCAACGCGAATTCCAACCGAGGGCTACACAGTAACCAGACAAGTTCAGGCATGTCAACCACGACGGACATTTCATAAAATTGAAGGGAAGAATGGCCTATGGCTGTCAGCTACCGCCGTTTGGCCCTGCCTTCACCAACACCCGGGTGCAGCGAAGTCGGACTGCGCGAGTGATTTAACTTGTTGTTCTGATAGTTAGTCCGAGATTTTCCTATACTGTTGTTCTCTGCACCAGTGTGGATCATTTTGCACATTCACCAATTTAACGATATCAGGTTGACTGCGTCGCACAAGTATACACCTTTTGTGAAAAGAAAAAAACCCTGGAGTATCGTTGTCTCTGAGGTGACCTAATTCTTACCTACGCCCTGTTCAAATAGGGTTTTTCCAACAGGTTTTTTACCCTGGACTCACTAAACACATGATATGGACATGGTGAAAACTTTTACGCTCACGGCGCACTCTTTCATTGGGTGAAATTTTTCTCATTTTGGGCACTTTAAGCGTGAAGTAACCTTCCTCCGGCGATTCTGTATGCCTTTGCAAGAAGCCAGTTCAAAACATCATTAAATTGTCTACGCAAATTCTCGCGCTAGCAAGCTTACCGTCTCACTCTGAGAACTTAACGAACAGTGTTGCACCCTTTTTCGCTAACGCCTTAATAATAATGGTGATGTTTATTCCCCACTAGTGAGTGGCATACTGTGGGACATGCTCACGCAGTTACATTCAGAATAGAGCATGACAGTGAGCATTTGCGTGGATTGCGCGGAAAAGGACAACGTCATAAATAATATGCAATATCCGATTTAAACTTGACCGCGCCTAAACCGGAATGGGAAATGAGACACAGCTACCAGGAGTATATCTTAATTTGGGGGAGAACATCTCAAGCTGAGACAAGATCGGCTCGTTGAGGTTTGAAGGTGGCGGGCAAAAACAGAACAACAGAGGGTGGGAAAGAGTTATCCCGCATGGTACAATATAAGAAAACTTCAACTTCGAACAGTGAATTTAGCGCCGTAGTTGGATTGTCACGATCTGAGCGCTCAATGTGAACTATAGTCTGAAACCACCGATGAGACCTATTCGGTCTTGGACTGTTGGCCTGGGACATGAGGACCGAAAGCGGGGAAAGCGAAGTGGAAGAATCAGTAATACGGATACATGGTTGTAGGAATTCCATAGTTGTGAAAATTTAGAGACTCACTGGTATCATTGCTGAAGTAGAGTGTAGAGCAAAGTTATCGGTAGGGGAATTCGGTGGTAACACACAGAATGGAACGCGAACTGCACAGAAAATGATTTGCTTCGTGACCAGCATAGAGTAAAAGTCAATGAGAATTTATTATACAAAACGGAAGGTTCAACGTGTTACCACAAAATGTGGGGTCGGTAATTCAACGATGAACGTGCTAAGGCCCGCCCTAGTGGGATTGAGGTACACTACTGTTCAGCTGCTTGTCACCAAGTGGATAGCTGTTCAGACTAACAGCCACTGGGTTCCAGGTGAGACATTGACTTCGCGTGAAATGCAAACTGCTGATGACTTCCAACATAGGCAAACAGCTGTAGAGTATTTTCGACTTTCTAGAGAACATTGCGTTCACTTACGGGACAGCCAAAAATGTGCTCCCTGTCACCTTATACGTACCCAGAAACGTTTAGGTATGACCACCAGAGAGGCACGGTAACTGTGGTTGGATCATATATGAGGAAGGAATTTGGCCTCAAAAGAAAGAGGCGTGGCGGGTTGAATACTGTCTTAGATTTGTGGAGATATTTTCTGCAATTTTTTAACACTTTGGCGAGTTAAATACGTTTGTATTACACAAATAACCCCAGGAGAGCACCATCTAGATTTTAGCAACCCAGTTTTGATTCTATAGACTTCGATGGCCATCAATCTTTTGAAATTAGGAGGCGAGTGTCATTTTGTGTCTTATCGCGGAACATAACGGCGGATGTTTTAGCTGTGGTATCTTGCCTTGACCCAACTTGAAGTGGATAGTATTTATATTTTCAGAATCATCTGACTACCCACTGAGATCAGGATATTACTGAATTTAAGCCAATCTTCATACGTCGGATAAAAACGTGTCCTGCTTTTTATCCATGAGCTGCCGAAAGACACTTCCACTAAATGGATCAGGTAAGATGTGGGTTTCATACCGTGTAACCAAGTAACCGCTGATGAGGCACATGAGTAAAATGTATCTTCGTAACTCCACTTTGAGTCTATCGGAAAGTGGATAGTATTACGGAATTCGTGAAACTGTATTGTAGCGTTCGCTTGCGTTTGAGTGATATTCAATGAATATTCAGGAACGTTTGGGAAGACGCGTTCAAAAAGAAGACGGATATGGGAGTTTTCGTTCCTGCTAAATAGTCTTTAACTGTTCAGTTGGCGCCTTTTTCTAATAAACAGCTCTGCAGCGAAGGTTCTCTTCCTTTCATTTGGGGCCATGACCAGGACTAGGATGAAGAACTCATGGCCAAAAGTCTTTGTGAATAGGAGTGTTCGGACCTTCTCGGAGGACTTTGAAGAGTTTGTGTAGGCTGCTTAGCTTGAGGCTGACCGAGGAAATTTGGCGGCGCTGGAATCCCACTTCAGGGTGCCGGCAGGAGGCGGCCCTGGATGCAGCCAGAAGGGGCCCTCGGAAGATGAGCTGAGCTTCCGCATAGAAAGCACTCGCAGCGGAGCTCTGCACACCGGCCGATCGCCAGGAGACTGAGGCGGTTTAAGACGGCCAGGATGCAACCGGGGGTCGACCCGACCGTTTTCTCAGCCGGCCTGTAGCAGTCGCTGGATCGGGCCTTGCCAAGACGGGATCGCGTTGCACCAGCAGTCGCTGCATTACCACTTCATCCCAGGTGTACGGTCCGCACTTTGTGCCAGTTGCGATTGGCGAGAGCGACTGGCCGGCTGATTGTGGAGCACCTGGTTCATCCGGCAGAGGTGCCATTTGCCACATTGCAGTCGCAGGAGAACAGGGATGATACAGCAACGGAGGACCTGCGGGCAAAATTGTATCAACTCGCCAAGCGTATTGCTGCCGTGAAGACGGAAATGCGGAGGCATGCTTGAACGTGCAGATTCTACAAGTTTGGTGTGCCTGACCACTGCAAGGATCCGTGCTCTCATGCCCAACCCCTTGTACACAGTAAGACTTTGGAGCACCGCCCCTCTTCACAGGGGGATTGCGATTTGCGCAATGACACAGGCTACCATACAGACCCTTATTGAGGTAGAAGCAGTGAGGAAGCTGCGCTTGGCTGACACAGGACCAGGAGTATCGCTGAAGTGAATAGGGAACCAAGCTTAATGGAAAAGGTGTTATCTAGTCGTGGGAGCAGCGGGGGGATACCGACTGAAAATTGATGTATCGTCAATATGCTCAATTCACCCAGGCGACGATTTCGTATAGCACGCTTTCCAGATTTTCAGACAGAGCAGACAATATTCAGAGCAGATTCTCTCAACAGCAGATATTCCGTGGTTGACTTAAAGCCTGGAAAACTGGTGACAAATTATGGTTGCCTAAGCATTGCCGTCAGTGAGCTGCATGTTTGAAACCTTCGTTTTGAAACTTGCCGTCGGTACGGTCCGTGATCGGGGAATACTCGAAGCTGCGATAGGGATCCTTTCAGTTTTTGCCCAAGGATTGAACTCGAAACTCTCCTCTCATCAGAATTCTTCTAACCTTACGACCTCCATGCGTTGCCGCCTCATCTACGGGAGGATGTCCATGACCAAATTTAAGAGATGTTAGAAATGGCATAAATGATTACGCGAATAGTGCATCTACGGTTGCACTTGTGAGGAAGGCGAACGGAAAACACAGGTTTTGCGTGGATTTCCGGTGCTTGAATGAGCTGACCGTAAGTCGGGTTGCAGCTGCGCCTTTGGTTGCAGAGATTTTCGGTTCCCTTCAGCACTTTCGATACTTTACTGTGTTTGAAATAAGCATGTCCGTTTTCCAGAAGGCGTATATTTGGATTCGGTATAGAATGACTGTTAAACGCCCAGAAAAACTAAAAAAAACTTGCTTCACTATCCCTCTGAGTGGTTTCACTAGTGGGCGATCGGATTTCTAGG